CAGTGTGGCAAAGCGGAGAGCGCAGCTGGCCCACAGCATTTTCCGCAGTTGTGCTGTTGTAAACACCACAAACTTGCCAGATCTGGTCGCAGACTGGCCACCGGTCCATCCGAGCAGTTTGCGCTGTCTTTTGACAGTCACTGTCGTCAGACCCTTGCGCAGGCGAAGCCGCTCGGCAGCGCGGTCAAAGGCGAGCAGCACCTTTGTCGTATCAATTTGCTCGTACATCTGTGCAGCATCGGCCACGAGTAGCGTACTTGGGTACTTGGCCGCACCACATTTATCGCATCTGCAGGGATTTGTAGAAGATCGCAACTGATCGAAGGCTTCACAGAATTGCGGAACTGCCGTCTGGAGGTTCCATACAGCAAAACCCGGAAAAGTTGCCTGCACGATGATCTGAATTGCTCTGCCTGCAAGTCTCCAAGCTTTGCGCCACGGCGCATGGTAGAAGCTCACCACCTTCCTCAGACAGGAATGCCCTTGTTTGGCACAGGTCCTACCGCCTGAGGGGGCAAAACACTTACTCTTAACTAAAGGGTACATGTAAGGCGCCATGGATTTAGCCGTCACCGCACCCTTTCGGAGAAAACTCGGCAAAGCAAAAATACTCATCCCATACACCAGTGCACTGAGCTGGTCCGGGCTCATGTCTGTAGGATGCCATCTTGTGCCATCTCTTAGCACCAGCAAAACCAACAAAGCAGACATGACAATGAAGGGCATGCCCCAGGTGCGTTTCCGATCCTTGTCATCCTGCAGCAAGATCTCGTGGTCGTCGGCCTGCATCTGTTGAATGTATGACTGCTCTCCCACTGGGGCGCGCCCCTTCGGCTCCAGGGAGCGCTCTTGGCAAGCTTGCCTGAGGGTCTTGAGACCGTCCAGGCGAGCTGGTCTCGGGACGTGCTTTCTGTGGCACCAGTTCAACAACTCTGCGTGTAGTGCTTGTAGCTGTCCACTTCCGGCTTGTTTGTCTTGCAACCCCCAGTTTCCGTGCAACAGTTTCACTTCTTCGGCTCGTTGAAGCCCTTCCAACATGAAAGGGTTTGTGGTACAGACCTGCATGATATCAATTGATTTGGCCGCCGCGACTATGTTCCTCCTGTCAGTATATCTCTTGGCAGCAACTCCAACGAATCTGACTTTGCTAAGGACCCAAGGCAAGAGTACCTCGCCGTGCTTGTTTGCCAGACTTTTTGCCGCTTGTCGAACAATCCGTTTGGCGATGTTCAGCGAGCGCTCGTCTGGAACTTTGAAGCACGTCATTTGCCGACCGGGCAGCCGAAAACGGGGCAACAGTCTGTCCACGTGTTGGTAGCCTCTGGATCGCCGCACGTAGCCTTGCACTTGAGCCACTAAGCATGCCAGACGAACACATGCTTGCGCTGCGGAACGGCCTCGTAGGAGAGGCGAAAGCAGCACGGAGGCTCCTTTAGTGCAAACCCACGTCGCCAGAAGGCCACCGGATCTCCAGCTGTATGGCGACAGGGGGCCTTTCTGTCCACTGATCACGAACCATTGCTGTTGAGCTCGTCTGTACACCTCTGCAAAGCTGAGTTGGGTCCAAGCAGGGGCTTGGCGGAGCTGAGGGTATGCCTGCACTCGGCGCCGTTCCTCCAGAATACATCGCTGGCTAATCATTGAAGACCAAAACGTTTGTACCGGAGGCCGCCTAAATCTGGGCAAAGGTCTTCTCCTCCGCGTCTGTTTGGCAGGTTTGGGCTTCGTTCTGCATTGGCCTTGATTTCCATTTGGCCGGAAGGCCCGAATAGCCACTGTCTCAGTTGCTTTGATGTAGTCGTGTTCTCCGACTTTAGCCACCAGGAAGCATAGGTGTTCAAGACGGCCTCGCCTGAATCGTTTAGCCCTCGTGGACTGATATGCTGGCGAAGAAACACGAAGGATGCCGGATAGGTGTTCCATGATTCGGGCCTTGACTCCTAGTGCAGCATGAGCTCTCTCAAGCAGTGCCTTGCCAACGTAGGTCGTATCCTCAGAAAACATGACATACAAAGCTGCTTGATCATGCCCATGGCAGTTCTCCAAACTGCTTTTGACATATTTGAGCCCCGCTGCGATGGCCGCCGGATGATGCTCTGCCAGTAGCATCAGGCTGATCATGGGCGCGCAGAGCCTTATGATTTTCTGCGCCCACCGAGTGGTTCGGCGGCTCCTCAGCTGGACGATCCCTTGGATGGTCAGCAGCGTTGCTAGCAGCAGTTCAAGATCAGTATCTTTGCGGTGCGTCTTGATGTCCTCCGGAAATAAACATCCCAACAGGACCAGTATCATAGTCCGAAGCCCTGCGATAGCACGTGAGTGCATCTCAGGGGAAGAACACCACATCTCGGCCAGAAGCCACATGCTCTCTTTCAGCGCCCGCATCTGCTCACAGTCATCAGATGGGCTTCTGATGTGCGCAGTCCCAGGAAGGGAGTGCCAAAGTCCCAGCAGGGCTTTTGCACAGGTTTGCTTGCACTCTCGACGCATATGTAGCTGTATATGGAAAGAATTTGTCAGAAGCGACTCTTCTCGCGGTTCAGTTTTTGTTGGCTGTTTCGCCCCAGGCCGTCGGTGTTGCCGCCGTCAAGTAAAAGACAATGGCTTCACCCGGTCTCTTGAGCGTGTAATGACACTGTAGCAAAATGAAGCAAAGAATCAGACGCAGCGGACGAAGCGGTCAGACTTACTTTTACCAGTCCAGGAGCCCATGCATGTGCGCGCCAAAGGCGCTTAAGCGCCGGCCTAAACCCCAGGACTGCCAGCCGAGAATGCAAGCACTTCGATGCCTCATGCTCATCACTGGAAGGATTCATTCAGAGGCCTGAGGAAGCATCTCAAAGCTTGGCCTGGACATACAATTACGATTGATCAGGGCTGGAAATATTGAAAGACATATCTGAGCGGCCATGCTTTATGCTGGAGCGGCCACCTTCTTGCGGTCTATACTTCGCATCCGAATCAGACAGCTGGAAGGAATATGGATTGGAGATAGCCGAAATGGGCGAATAAATCCTGAACGCCCGAAGCCGTAAAACCACTCTAAACTACCCCAAACCCTCATGCTTCACCCCAAGGACCGGGAGCAGTTTACCGGGAAAATATTCATGCATTTTTTCCTTGAAAACTCGGGCAGGCTGCCCTAAACCGAAACCCTGAAACCGTAAACCCTAAACCGTGAACCCTAAACCCTGAACCCTGAGGCTCGACACCAATCGCATGACCGTAAACCCTGATTTCTAACCCCAAACCGCGAACCCTTGCGAGAAAGTCCAAGATGCAAGGTTGAAACCCAATTCCAAGCCAGAAAAGTCACAAGTGATTTCATGCATTTTTGCTGAGAGGTGTTGCAAATTCGCTGGCTAGAGAAGTCACAGGTGACACCCGACAGAAGTCACAAGTGACCTGCCTATCGCCGCGGCTGCACTGCTCTTCGTGAGATGTCAGGAGGAACACGACACGTGGTCGGACGAGAAGCGTCGGGAGCCCTATTCTGATTTGCAGGGTCAGGGGCGCGCAGAGAGATGGCAGGGTTGCCTGGTTTTGCTTCGGCAGGCGACTATTGCTGCGGCCACTTCCAAATCGCCTGCGCCGCCACCACGCTGTCGCCTCTCGGGTGTGACGCCGCTTAGCCAAACTTTGCTCGAAGTCAGGGATGGTATGTGGTATGTACACCATGTTGCGTTGCAGCCCACTATACAGGGAGTTGCTCCTAGCCAGCCAAGGCCCCGTGCACGCTTCACGGCGACACCAGCACCTGCAAGCAGCGCATCGACTGGACGATGGAGACCTTGCGGTGCTCTTGCAGCCTTCTTCGTTGCCGTTCTAAGTAAGAAGCTCGGACGTGTTTTCTGGCTGTGCATGTCTGTCTGCGCAGGAGCACACCTTCGACAGCAAGGAGAACGCCTGCAATCTGGCCTACAGCGCCGTGCAGGTGCTTGCAGGGTACTCGTCAGAACCTTGGTTCAGAGGCTCTTCCTGAAGCTATGCGATGCCCCGGCGCAGGTGGAGTGCGACGTCTGCCGCGCCTGCAGCATTCAGGAAGCGGGCTGTGGCGACCAGGGCCCGGGCTCCGATCCCTACGACTGCTCCACGGCTGCAGATGGCAGGGCAGCGAGACAAGCAACGAGGGCTTCTTTCTGAGGCAATGCCGCTCTGGGCAACTGGCCCTGGCCTCGGAGCGTGCCAGTCGGTGAGAAGTGCGAATTTGTATGAGATTTGAATTTTGATGTCGTGGAGGTGCCGTGCATGGTCGCCTGAGAAGAAGGTCTGGTGCTGCCAGAACGAGCAGAAGGGCTGCCAGAACCCGGACACGCCTCCGGACTGCGATGCTGGAGCCGGCATGGTCTGGAAGCATCTCGGCAGCAGGGCGAGCAGTCATGGGTAGCCATTCGTAAAGCTGGTTGCCAAACTGTCCGCTGCACACCTCAGGAAGGTCTTCATTTCGAACCACTGGACGTGGCAGGCCTCCCACAATGCGAGCCCCGCGCGCGCGCGCGCGCGCGCTCGCGCGTGTCGTCGTCGTTTGCGATGCCTGCGCCGTTCGCTCTTGACAGGCCGTATCTGCTGTTGGCGGTTCGGTCGTGAGCAAGCCCTATGACTGCCACGCCGGTTGCTGGGCCACAAGTACCGAGGGGCTCTGCGCAGATTCTATTCGTGAGCCCTTGCGGTACTGCTGCTGATTCTAAGGCTTGCGCAATTGGGGCACGGGATGGTCGGCGCCGAAGAAGTCATGGTGCCCGCCTTGCGGCCTTCTGATGTGTCGCCATCGACGCATGCTTCATGCGCAGTGTAGTAATGCACGGATATATCGGGAGCACCCAACTCTGGTGTCGAGGTGCTGTTCCCACGAGCAGGTGGGCTGCCCTGGCTACCACTACGCCGGCGCCGGGGGCGGTGGGAAAACCGTGGTCACGACGCACACCGTGGTTTCAGGCAGGGAAACATGTGGAAGCTGCATGTCGCATACCCAATGCTGGGACGGTGGCCACTTGCGAGAGGCGGCGGCGGGGGCAGCTTCGGCGGTGCATACTCATTCCACGGCCATCCTCCCTCCGCAGCTGGCTCCGGCATGATGTGGCACTGGGTGGCCCAGAGCAAGTGGCGGTGAAAGTCATGGAAATTCGCTAGCCAGTTGTCCGGGAATGCCTATGCCTGATCCGAGTCCTCGTCTGGCGGCTCGGGCCACTGGGTCCAGGCCGTTATGCAGCTTGTCTGGCAGCCCTGCATCACCACGTCAAGACAAGACATGACAGGTCCACACGCACGGCAACCTGCCATTCGACTGTTTCGCCGGCATCACGGTCCGGCCCCTAAAAAAAGCTTGTAGGAGTTTCGCGCGCCATGTCATGGTCCAACTGCGGTGTGGTGCTGTTGAGGCCGGTTGGTCTGGAGGGAAGAAGCACTACTGCTGTCTGCACTTTGACAAGGGCTGCTGAGCAGGCTCACCACGCAGCGGAGAGCCAAGGATCAGAGGTCAAGGTGTAGAGAGCCTAAGCCTCCTTCGCCGAGCTGCGGTGCGCAAGCGTATCTGCAAGTCCCTCCGCCCAAAGATGTCTGCATCCCACGCGGCCGCATCGTGCATCACTCTGCATCTACACCCTCTGCGTGTGATTTGCATCAGGCCAGGTGCAAGCCAGAAAGCCCCAGCATTGGGACACACTGACCATTCCGAAGATACAGTTCTGAATCAGAGGACAATGTCTTCCTCTGTTTTTCGTCATAAGCAGATCTTTCTCCAGGTCTTCTGGCTGAGCTACAGGACATGTGTAGGCCCAGCAGTATCTTGCTCTCCGTCCAAAGGCATCCTTGCTCGCATTCATCAGGGCTTGTTGTTTATTCTTCCGCATCATTTGATGAGGATCAGGCTCTTGCCAGGATCTGCTTTTCACCTTGATTTTTGGCTTCGGTGCGGCTGAAGCATATCTGACACATGTTGGAGCCGGTATAGAGTATTTCCTGCGCACCCAGGCCAAAGTGAGCTGATGGTAGTGCTGACATGCCCCCGCTCTCTGAGAGACTTCCAGGAGGCCATGGAAGCGAAAAAGACACTAGGCAGGCCGATCAGGTGCATTGCTCTCGTAGATGCCACCCCAGATGTTTCCCGGCCGACTCAATTTGACGTGAGCGTCAACGCAGTGCTCTGCTCGAAGACTTCTTAGAGGCCGTAAGTGACTGCCAGCGACAGTCGCCGCAATCATGGGGCCGCGGAAGCCCCCCGGATGTACTCAGCACGGCTTTCAGACTGGTTGTCTTATCTTGGAAGCCTAGACATGTTTGACCATGCATGCCAGTCATGACATGGGAACGTGCAAGGGTCGATGTTGGGGCGGTGGATGATGGCTGCGGTGTCTTCGCAGCATTGTGCATACAACACATCTCGTGAGGACTGTAGGTTGGTAGCAATTGAAATCCCTTGAGCGTTCTGGACCCGTAGAATCTTAGAAGAGTGCCGCTGAGGAGGTGCCTGCGGTGCGCTGTGCTTCTTGGCTGCTCAGACCTTTGACTGTTTTGAAGTTGAGGGGGCCATGGGATCGGCCATCAAACTGAAAGCAGCACGTGCACCGTCTTGGTTCTTCTTTCAGAGCCGAGCTCAGAGGCTGGTGGAAGGATGTCCTGGGATCTAGTGAGGCACGAGCCTGAAGCAGTTAAACTCAAGTGCAGGGTCATCTGAGTTGATCAACTTTGACCGTTGTACCTGTCGATCGAAACTTGGCGTCGCACTCTAGTGGAGTGCATGTCCATCGGATCCTATGATAGCGCGGCCAGCCGCCGCCCATATAGTATAGTTGATCTCAAAATGTGTTTTCGACGACATGTGACTGCTGGGGCTGATACGGCCGCATGAAGTCGTGAACTAGCCGCAAAGGAAATCCAGTCTTCGACAGAGTTCCGAAATCTCCCACTTCCTGGAATCCTGTATTATACCTCAAACCTCCTACTGAGGCTTCGAGGCAGATGCAGAAGCTGGCCGAACGGAAGAGCGCTGGGTGTCTCGCCAAACAAGACGCTTTCAGGGCCGTGACAATGCAAAGTGCAGGTCTCCCCACCTGTATTAGGTGATTAGAGAGAGGGTCGCAGCGCAGATGGTGTAGGGGCCAACTTGGGACTGTGTGGCTGCAGTTCCGAGGCTTATGTCGGTGCAGGCAGGCTGGCAGGGCCTAGCGTGTTTCAGCCCTAGGCCGAGGTCCCGGCACCATGTCACGTCTTTGCCAGGTCAGGGAACTTATCGGCAGACATCCCAAATGGACTTTGTCGGCCATGGGTCGTCCCGTCTCAGATTCACCCATGATGCAGCTCCACCGTTAACTCTATCCCCGTGGTGCTGTCGACAGCCGCGAGCCCCATGCCAGCCGTGGCGACTTCGAGAAGGAGAAGGTGAAAGTCGCCTCTGGCCCCTCGGTTGAACACAGCTCGAAAGAGTGACGAACAGCTGGGACCGGGAAACATGTTATCATGTTGCAACTGAGGTGGACAGCTTGAACCTCAGCCTGCCCTGCTGTGCCGAGACTGCACGAGCTGAAGAAACGCTTCTGCGGGCTTGAAAGGTTCCGCTCCATCTGTGCGGTGCTTCTCTGCTTCCTGCTCTTCTTAATTCTCGGGCTTCTGCTCTACCTCTTCTGGTCCGGCCCTTGGCACGCATGTGGTTTCACATATGGCCTCTGTCTTGATGCCTGCAGGCCCTTCAACTTCTATCAGACGGGGGCTGACGAAATGGTGCCGGCCTCAGATTGAGTTTGCTGCCTCTGCGGGCCTATGTTCTGCCGTGTTGGCTCCGTGGTTGGCTCCGTACGTACCATCTCAGGACCCCTGCATGATGGGCACCGTGAATACCATGACGGTCATTCAGAGGGAGGCCTGCTGCGCGCAGGGCAATGTAGGCTTCTGCGCCACGACGACGAAAGCGCCCGTGATCATCCACGACAAGCCCCTCGGCATGTGCTAAGTGTCCAATCCGATGTTTTCGCACTGCGCTGCAAGTTATGTAGCATTCTCCTCAAGTCCAGGTATTACACCAACGTGAGGACGGGTAGTTTGCATGCGCACCGGCTTACACGACTGCCGGTTCAATCAGGCACGATCCTCTAGGCTCCAGACTCGGGTTGAGAGTGGTTGAGCACAGGAAGCGAAGTTGGGAAGAGAGCGAGAGAGAGAGAGAGCAGTGGTCGGCATTGATGCAAATGAACAATTCACTCCCTCAGAGCACGCCAGCCACCAAGAACAAGCACAAGGCCACACGGGGCGAGCGGAAAGCATCCTGGCATGGCTCGCGCACAACCACATTCGGCTGCCGCCGCAGGACCTCCAAGCTCCCTCCCACTTCCCTTATGACACCACGCAAACACCAAGAAGGCTCGACTATGTGGCGATCCGGGGCATCTTCTCCTTGCAAGGGCAAGTCCTACAAGCCAGGGACATAGCACGGTCCGACCATGAACCGGTGGCACTGCAGCTAAGGGGAGAACCGCCCAAGCAACCCAAGCAGCCAGACAGATGTGGCCCCAGACATGTCCACATACGGTCGTCAGACGAACTACAACATATCCTGGACCGAGCGGCGCAAATCCCACCGGGGGACAGGCACCACCAGATCGCCGTCCTCAGCCAACACATCACCAAGCCAGGCCGGGGGAAACACGCGCGCTTCGAGGAAAGCAAGTCCCTCAAGCAGGCAAGACGCCTGGCACACAACACCCCCCCAGGGGAAGCACGGCGCCAAGCGTGGAAAGCTGTCAGCAAGCAACTGCACCAAGAACAAAGGGCATGGAAACAGGCCATCGCAGATCGCGCCAGCCAACATGACTGGCCTGCATACAGACAACACAAGAAAGGCAGCAGCGGGGAGACCTGGATCGCCGCGCTTACTGACACACACGACTGGCAAGGAGCCCTCCTTGCACACTTCAAGAACATCTTCCACAAAGCCGACGGGGACGCCAGGGACGCGGACTTCGCAGCAAGACGGGGGAGGCTTAGATGGCAATGCAAGCATACCACGTGGCAGCCCTTCACAGCAGAGGAGATTGAGGGGGTGGCAACAAGGTGGAAAAACAGCAAGTGCACCGGACCGGACCACATCGCGCATGAAGCCCTACACATACTGCGCCAGCACCCGGTTTGGGAACAACGCATCAGGGGGATGCTCAACGAAGCCCTCTACACAGGAGACCTGCCAGCGGCCGTCGAACGAGGAATCACTGTGCTCCTACCCAAGGAAGCCACCCCCCTCAGCTGGGGGGAGACCAGACCCATCACTCTCAGCAGCACCATCCTCAAGGCCATAGCACAGCTCCTCTTACGCAGGTGCGCCTACACCCTCAAGCCACACAACACATTGCAGTGGGCGGCACCGGGGAGGCAAGGCACCGAATTGATCCTTACACTGCGTAAAGTGGCAAGAATGGCCAGGGATTGGGGGGGCACTTTCTGGATCATCAAATTGGACCTTGCCAAGGCGTTCGACTCTGTTGCGCAAACGAGTCTCGCCGACCTTGTCGAGCGGCGCATGGGGGCGGATCACCCATGGGAGGCAGTCTTGTGGATGTCGCTTCTGCAAGCCAGGGGGGTTACCATCGCTGCGGGGGGGGCGGACACGCTGGTCCCACAAACAAACGGGGTACGCCAGGGCTCCCCAGACTCACCAGTGCTGTTCTCGGCCAGGGTGGGGGAGTGCCTCCTGCAAACGGTGGCCCAGACCCAAAACCAGCAGCGCCAAGGGGGAAACCCCAAGCTACCACCGCCGCCACACCACGCAGGAGCCTTTATGGATGACACATACTTGTGGGGGGAGCAGGCGGACCACCTTCAACGTACCCTCGATATCCTCCAAAGGTTGCTGCGGGAGCACGGCCTGCGCATCAATCCCAAGAAAACCCGCATCATCTGCAGCACAGATGACCCACACAGGTTCCACATTGATGGGGAGTGGGTTGCAGCCGAGTCGGGGGAGGCAGCCTTGACGGTCCTGGGATCCCCAGTGAGCTTTCGGGGGGGGCCGCCGCACCTTGCGGCAGAAATGTGCACAAGAGCGCGAAAAGCCTGGGGGAAGAACAAGGCCTTGCTCACAGCAGACACCAACCTCAAGCAACGACTGCAGCTACACAACATACTAGTCAGACAGAGCGCGTTATGGGCCGCAGAGACCTGGCCAGTGCAAACCACGCTGCTACAGGCAGCCAACGTGCAACAGCTCCAGCAGGTCAGAAGCATGGTTGGAGGGGGACGCGCACCGGGGGAGCCTTGGACCGAATGGAACAAACGGTCGCTCCGAATGGCACGCGTGCACCTGCACAAGAACAAGATCGAGCGATGGTCCACGTACATCCTACGGATGATCTGGGGGATCTGGGGGCATGCCGCACGTGCACAGGACATCACCTACGAAATGCTCATGTGGAGGGGGATGGAATGGTGGTGGCAACAGCAAGCTCTACCCGAC